ACTACTGGGGTTTCTGGCTAAGAAAGTATTCTTATATATTGTCAGAGACCATGACTTGAAATATGCTTTACAATTCTGGTTTTCTAATTATCCAAAAGTATATATAAAGTATATTATTACATAAAGCTAAAGTTAAAAATATATATCCATATATAAAATGGCCTTACCTAAAATAAAATGACTCGTTTGAGAGAATACTGTATGTGGAAAGGTTACTAAACTAATATATTAAAAAATAAACTGAAGAAAGAGCTGAAGAACTAAACTTGTTTCCTTTAAATTGGTGTATGAGAAGACCTTGTCTAAACCTTGAAGATATTAAAGAAATTCAGTATACTCAACAGGAATTTAAGCAGGTAGTTATCAAGATGCAAGGATATTTGAAAAGAACCACCGCTATATTGACGTGAAGTTAAAGTATATTAGATGAAATATAAATGAGGCACAGGGCTGCTTTGACTAGAGTTGTAGAACTTTGAAATAACTTGCTCTCCATTGTCAGGATCGTAAGTTTGGTACAGGCTTTAAGAAAGGGCTGTGAATACATTTTGAAACTATTACTGTAATGTAAACTCATTTCAAATTTGAAAACATTACTAAAACCCACAACACCGGCTACCATGCCAGCCAGTTGAGCCTGGCCTCAGGCCAGGCTCGGGGAGTAGAACAACTCTTGAAACCCTCTCCAGGTATGCCTCAGGTATGCCATGCACTAGCACAAACAGTAGCAATTTTTCAGGTTGTAGTCTAGTCTGTACGCGCAACAGTAGCCGTGACATTGTTTTTAGACATTATATATTTCTCCTTTGTTGTAAAATTTCCAAACCATTTGACTATAGCATGGTGCTACTTATTGTTTTCCAGCTGGCAGTATAAGATAGAGGCAGTGCAGGTTTTGAAGACTTTGGATTTGCTAACCAGATTTTTATCCAGATAAAACTTAATGTAGAACAGTAGTTACATATTGTGGTCAGACAGATCTTGTGTTATCTTGCATGTTGTGTGTGTGGACTCTGTTGCCTCTTCTCTCCTCAACCTCCTCCTCCTTTCCTTTACCACCACCACCACCTCTCCTCCTTATTCTCCTCAACCCCTACTACGAGTGAATGATGACTGATGGTAGTGATGTTCTTGAGAGTAGCACAGTCAGCATGAGACTCTTGATAGCTGAGCTGCTTTTGTTGTGTGTGCCAACCTCTGGTTCTCCACAATGTTGGGCCAGGTGGGAGATCTTGAGAACATTGGTCATATGACTGATGGGCCAATAATGGGTCAAAATGAGAAAGATCTTCTTTTATGGTTCTCTACCTCGTCTTTAATTCCGTTAAATGATGGACCATCCAAGAGTGGTGCATCCTCAAACTAGGAGCTAACTTGTGCTTTGCTAACTTGACAGTAGGGGCTGTTTTATAGCCCTACTGTCAGAAAGGTATGGGATGTGCATTTGGGCTCTTAAGTTTCTTTGTTGCCTTTCATGCTTGATTCAAAATATATCTCTGTGGTCATTAAAGAATCAAAACTTCTTCACTGAGCACCAGATTTTTTTCCAGTCATTCATATATCCTGTTCTAGGTTTGATGTCATGCAGTCTAGTTGTGATCTTTGCCCGAGTGGCATCTTTTTGTTTGATTACATAGTAGAAAGTAGTTTGACCAAAAATTCAGTTGAACTGAAAGAGAACACATGAATGGACTACAGAAGACATACAGTATCTGCAAGATGTTTAATAGGTGAATGAAACAGAGGGAAAGACGGTAAATACATTGACGGAATTCATTGCCTGGAAATGTTAAGCCACGGAACAGTTCAGCTTATTCGGGAAGGAGGTGCACAAAAAGAGAAGGGGGTAAACCCATGGTTCAGTAAATAGTGGAAGAGAGAAAAACGGCATGGGAAAAGTAGACAACAGTGAACAGTTGTAAATAGAAAGGCACAAAGAGCCAGAATTATTACATCTGAGTCAGGAGAGCAGCAGTTTATACACAATATGCTAACAAAAGGAACAGGCTGAGGAGAAGAGGCATACTTATGGAGTGTGACAAGGAAGTGTCAGGAGCAACACCAGATAGCTCAGCAGTTTATGACAAGGTAAAACACATCTAGAGGGGATTAGATGTAACAAAACCAATAGGACCTTTGAGATACCTCCATGGTTACTGAAGGAAGCTGGTGAGCTGGAAATCTTAAAAAAAAAAAGAACACTTGGTTCTAGACTTCAAGAAAGGGGAAAGACTGAAAGAACTTTAACTAAAGACCAGTGTCACTAACATGCATCCCCCTGCAAAATTCTATTAAAGATTATTAAAGCATTGTGAAAGGCTTCATTTTGTAATGGAGTCAACTTTTATTCACAGGAAAAAGTCATGCCTTAGTTTATTGCATCTTCATAGACTCAAAAAGCTTGAGATATTATTGATGAAAGGTTAGTGCACAAGATGCGTGCGCACAACTGGCATAAGTGGATGTGGGAATACTTAATGAGCAGAAACAAAAGGTTATAGGCAGACAAGAGAGGCCTGGATGGAGGGATGTAACAAGTTGGATCTCCTGAAGATTAGTTCTGGAACCATTCTTCTTAATTTGTGAATGGCCTACCCAGTGGAGCAAACTTGTATATGCCAATGCTTTCTGATGGTGCAAATCTAATGAGAAATATGCAAAATGAGGAAGACTACAGAAAATAGCAGAAAATACAAATTCCAGGAGTGGGCAGCTTTACAAATTTGAAAGAATAAATGAATTTGAAATAGACTCCAGAGGCTCATACAAATAAGGTAACATAGCCAGCAGACATTAGAATGACTTTGAAAACCGTTAAAACCTTCGGTATTAAAATATGCAGCAGGGCCAGGAATTGGCAAAGTGTGAAGCTAAAATTAAATTTAAACTGCCAAGGTTACAATAGAATTTGTACTAAAAGAGGGCTAAGCTATGAGAACGGGTTAGTTTTTTAGTTTAGTTCATTTATTATGCACCCATACCCATCTTGTGGGCAGTAGTGGAAAGGGTTACAGATGCACATAATGGGCTCAGAGACTGAACCCCACAATTCATTTAGCTAAGCAAGTTACAATCTTGATGAGCTAGTTACAAAATTCAGTATAAGTCCTTGCATCATCAATGGGTTCGAGATCGATCACAAGTACAGTTTCTAAATTAAGCAACTGACATATGTGGAGAGCTAGTGTCACAATTGATATGTTTGTCCTGCACACTGCCCTGAGAACCACCGCCTTGAGAACAGGTTAAGGGAACTAAATATCAGAGTCCGTGAGGACAGAAGTAACAGGTGGGATATGATCTCCACTATGTGCATGATAATGAGGAGAGTGGACAAGGTGACAGCTTCAAATATGTGGAAATACTCATATTCTGTGTGGGTGGTGAACAAGGCAAGATATGACCAAAAACATGAACTACAGGGAATTAAATTAAAATAAAAAATGTATTAGGGGCATGAAGCCCTAGACCTCACTTTATGTAGTCACTGTTAAGTGCCACCTTCACTCACCTCAACCACCACCCACTATTACTCTCATCCAGTACGTACCACCACCTTTACGCTGTGCTCACTACATCACACTGTTGTTATTCAACCCCCACAGCTCTCATTATATTACTTTTGTATCTCAAGATATATGCAGTTCTGTATTGTTTTGTTACGAATTTTTAGCTAAAACTAAAAAAATATTATGTATATATTTACAGCAATACTATATAATAAAAAGCTAAAAGAAATGTATCATGCTGGTATTGATGATCTGCAACAAGGCATGAAGGCCAGAGTTGACCATTCTGAACCTGTGTTTAAGAGTGGGCATAAAATACTACTGTGTTCAACTGAAAGTTTGCTAGACTGTAGTAGAAAATTTAAAATTGAATCATATCACTGTCCTGACAAAAAAACTTTCCCTTCTTTATTTAAATACATTAAGTGGAACCCCTGTCAAATGGAACTAGAAGCAGTGGAAGTTCCGATGAAACTGATGGATGTTGTCGATGGTAATGTGATCAAATGTAATGGAAAATAATATTTCTAGCTCAGCTAATCGTACATTGAATGAACTGGAATGTGGTGGCCAAAGTATAACTTGAAAACTTATTTTGTTAGAAGTGTCTGTTTTCCCTAATGATATTAATGTGTGTCCCTGTGGCCTTCCTCTTATCACCGTAACCGGCGGTGGGAAACGGCTCTGGCAAGGTTGCGTATTGGCCATACGCACTTAACTCAGTCACTTAATGGAGCGCCGCCCTGCTCCTTATTGTCCTAACTGCATTGTCCCTCTTACAGTTGTGCATATCCTTGTTGAATGTCTTGACTTCCAGGATGAGCGTGTGTCTTACCTTCCGACTGTCCCCCCGCAGTCGTTTGTCCCTAGATAGAATTCTTGGTGAATCGGATACTTTTGATATTGTCCGCCTTAGCATTTCTGTTCTCATATTTGCATCCTCGGTAGTATTTGCGCCCTCTGATTATTCCGCACATTTGATGGTGCTACATAGCCTTCCCGGCTTGGTGCCTTCTTTGATAATTATTTACTTTAATATGTACAAAGACACACTACAGTGTTTGCATTAATAAAATTAATGATGATGGCCAAAAATGTTGAGTAAAAAATGATAGATGTAACGTAGGTCTAGATGCAGTAGAAGGGCTCCATACCTAATCATTCCATTTGTGCAGGGTTCCACTACATTCTTTTGCATTAATTTTCCAATTTCATTTACAGTACAGTATACAGTACTGTACTGTACTTGCACTGTAACATATGCTACATATTTTCTTAATGTAATTTCATACATTATTTCAAGCACAGAAAAATTTGTTTTCCCTTTCCTTTCATCTTAAATCATTTCATCATTTATAATTTCATCATTAAAATCCGTTTTTTTTATATATGAAATTTAAATGCGTTTAAATTGTTTGTACCTGTAGTGTTCTTTTAATTAATATTATCTTTAATTAATATTTTATTAAGTATAATTTATTTCTTTTTCAGATGACAAGTTCGAATTCTTACGACATCGATAACATAGTGATTCCATACAGCATGGCAGCGTCAACTCGTGTAGAGAAACTGGAGTACAAGGAGATCCCCACTCCCAAGTGGAGAATAGTTCCGTTAGTCCCTAATAATGTGCTTAGTGGAACAAGTGGTACTAGTCAGGAAGAGGAGGTCAGTTTGGTGTACAGTACTCTACTCTGTATAATCTATTCTCACTAATCCATGTACAGTATATATATCTGTGCTACTAGCGTAGTAGAGCAAGTCTGATCTTTTTCATTTATTTTTCATACATTTATATTTTATATAATATAAAGGAGATGGATTCACACACAGAATAAATAAATCCATGTTAAATTTTGAAATGCCTAGCCAATGACACTGTTGTGTGATCCCATGGTTCAGTTGTGATGAAATTTATTAAACTTTGATTTGAATAAAGTATGATGGGACTGAGGCATTAAATCATCGAGAAATAATTTATCAAGTTATTTTAAGGGGGCATTCTAACCAAATACAAGTATGCCAAAAATATGCAATAAATGAAAACTAGATCGATTTCAATCAAACGTTTTTGACGAGTTTTATATGAAAAGGGTTTCGTCTGGTCCAAGTCTCAGCATCATAGCATAAATAGGAAGGGAGAAAAAAATATTAAATTGTCAAAATTTTTCCAAAATACAGTAGTCAAAAATTAACATCAAACACAAGTGTCAACTGAAATCATGTCTATGACTCTCAGCTATCACAATAGCATATAATAAAAATATTTAATAATTAGTTTTATAAAAAAAAATAATTAATTTTTTTTTCATATTTTCTTTATTTGTTTATCGGACAATTTGCATGAAATTTGTACACCTGACTGCACATAAGCCTATCTGTAAAGGTGCCAATTTTGGAGGAAATTGGTTGATGTCAATCTCAGCTACAGATGGCAGCACCTTAGACTGTATATTTTATTTTCAAGTACTGTAACATAAACGTTCTTATAACTCTTAATTTTTTACTCAATTTGCATGAAACTTACACCTTATATGTAGAGTTTGTTTCTACAATGTAGGTCAAGCTTTTTTTCCAAAGTTCATTTATTGATTTTATAATAATAATAATAAACATGACATATTTGCATAATTTTGGGGGGGAACTTTGACTATTTGTATTAGTAAACCTAAGCATATTTTGGAAAAGCAGCTGAATCATATCCTTTATTATATGCCAATGTGATAAAAGTGTCATAAAAATGATTTCATTTGAAACTTGTTGAAAATATGTAAAATTCGTTGAAAAAACAAAACAAAAAATCTCCCTTTCTATTTAGGCTGCAATACTGAAGCTTGGAACAATTGCAACCCTTTTCATATACAACTAGTCAAAAAAGATTTGTTGACATTGAACAACGTTCAAAAAACTAACTGATGTCTCCTTAAGCTAGAGTGGAATTACTATTTCAAATGAAGATCAGGGAAGCTTGATTTTCTAAGACCTTATCATTGCATACACAACAATTAATTAAAAGCTTATTCATGTTAATTGACTGAAGGGTTTTGTAGTACAGTGGTCTACATTCTTGACTCGCAACTGGGGATCCTGGATTTGGGGTGCAAAAACTGTGCCCTGGGTGGGACAGTTGTTGAGTATGTTTTCTCTTACCTGATGCCTCTGTTCACCTAGCAATAAATAAATACTTGGGAATTAGGCAACTGTTTTGGGTTGCATCGTGGGAAAGGTCAATAGTTCAACCAAGCTGTGACCTCGGTACAAGCCTAAGTACTGGCTTCCTGTCCCTAACAGTGAGAATTATTATATATTACAAAAACAAATATCTATTAATACAACTTAAAAAATACTCAGAATCTTAAAGAATCTTTATTTCTGAATTATATTTTAACTTCAAGAACCTTTCCTTAATTAGGTACAGTATTCCTAGAAGGAAGATTTTTTTCAATTAAGCAGTTCAGTGATGTATGAAAACAGCCAGGCTCTATTAGTGGGACAAACACCATGGTACCATATAGGCTAACTGAATAAACCATTAGCTGCATGGCCTTTTTCAAATGGGTTCTTCAAGTCACTGTAGGTGTGCAGTGTATTTTCATAATGATTATGTATCAAAATTTTGCAGGCATAATCATCTTATAGTAGTAGGCATCCATCAGTCGCAGGAGACTATGGAGTTGCGCTCTGATGTCGGATTTATAACAAATCATTTTATGATACTTTTTTATTATTACATAGTTTTGATGTAAGGCTGAATGAGAGAGAAGTTAACTATTTGATAACATGAATGTAAAGTCTTGTAAGGTGAGATGATATTTTCTGGAATGGTGGTAAGCTCCACCCAATTTAATCCTCGCCAGGCCCTGAGTCATATAAGCCTACTGAGGACCAGAGGCCAAAACCTGTCCCACTTTAATGAGGCACAAGGAGCAGAGGATTGTAGATCACCCTAACCAAGAAAAGGCCACCAGAAAGGTGGGCAAACCAAAATACTGTATATAAACAGTAAGGTAAACAAAGCATAAAAAATGGGACGAAGACTCCCCAAACTTGTGAACCACCTAGTCATGAAGCGGTTCTCTCGTTAATTCTACCTGTGCATATCCAGGGGTTGTGCACAGGTGGAGCAAGTTTCCTCCTTGCTCTTCCAGCCTTGACACCTCAGTCATATTGCTTGGTGCTTACATCTTTCATGTTCGCCGTTACGCTCCGTTAACTGCCCCATGTGTTTCGGGTCCTGGTTCTTCTCAAAAGTATTGGCCATCCTTGACTTTGTTTTTTTGTTATTGTGTAGCCTGGTTCACAATGCATGTATGCATGTCACCCCTCCTTGGACTCTAATCTGGTTCTGGTTTGTAGACCTCCAGGAAACCTCTAAGAGTTGTTCACGCACTTCTTTTTTATTTTCCAAGAGTTTTCCTCCCTGTCCCCTCAGTCTAACCAAATGTTCTCATAGTTGTTTTCCTCCATATATGGCTGTGCCAACTTAAGCTGTTTGCTTTGCTTTTCCTGCAGTGTAATTTTCAAACTGCTGCTCTGCTGCCCCTCCTAATTCTGGTGTGCTCATTGCTGGCCCTCTTTAGTGCCTCCCATTTTGCACCTGTATCCATGTTTATACTTTTTGCATACTTTTTTTACTTCTCCTTTTCTTCCTTACAGTGTGTGTTGAACCGTGGATTTTCCGTTCTCATTTCATCCACTTCCCTCCCGAGACATGTGAACTGCTCCATTGCTTCTTTGCATTTCTGAGTTCCAGCATTAGCTGACCTTCCATTTCAGTCTCTTATTGAACCTCATGCAGGTCATCCATAACCCTACTGTAGTCCCCCTCTTCTGTATTTTCCCCTTGCTCCTTGTCCTTTTTTCTCCTCCTTAAGGAGTTACTGGCTCCTAATGGTACCTTATTTTAAGTTTTCTTCAGGTTCGTTTTGGGTAAACACCAGGTTTAGAGTAGCTGGTAGAATACTACCTCTTTCTCTTGTTGGCTCCTTCATATTACATTCATCAGTTTTGTCTCCATAATTGGAATGATGAGAGGATGTAGTTCTACCTGTTCGTGGATATTGTGTCCTCGGTTCCTTGTTCCAGGGCTTGTGTGTTTGTCAGGTTGTCCACAGATTCATCAAGTTTAGCTAGCCTGCAGCCTACCTTTGGTCCAATGGTATTTGCTCTCTCTGCAGTGTTTTTTGGCCTAAATAGATTTTTGAACTTGGGAGTTTTGACAGTCCAACAATGTTGCCGGCTCATTTCTCAATGAATATTCATAGTCAACGCTGGGATTACAAGGCTTTTGGTTGATTTTTTGGTGACTTTCCTTTTCCTGGGTATTAATTTCTGTGACTCATCTCCACACACCTTTCTGTTTTTTTCTCCATGGTGACACAGCACTTCCTGAAAACCAGGTGTTGAATTGCCTTTTTCTGTTGGGTTTTTGGTGGCTTCCTGGATCCTCTCTTCCCCATTCAGGAGCATTTGTTTACCATTTTCTTGGTTATATAATTGAGGTGTCAAGGTTGGTGAGTCAAGGAGGAAGGTGCCAGTCCCCTACTTGTGTGGAGATGGAAGAGGAAGAATTGCTTCATGACCGGGTTATTCGTGAGTCAGGCCTTCATTGTCCTATTTTCTGTTTTATTTACCATTGTTTGTTTGTTTGTTTTGGTTTATCCACCTTTCTGGTGACCATTTCTTTGTTCTACAATACCTTATTTTTTGTTCCTCTTTAGAGAGGGGGGAGTCAGGTTTTTGACCTCAGGTCCCAAGTAGGTTTATACAATTCACAAGGACCTGGCATGGGCTGAATTAGATTGAGTGTCCCAGGTAACAAGCACTAAGGACCCACCAGAAAGAGGTGTTTCATAGCATTCAATGTTTTTTAGTTTTTAATAAACCCATTACATTTTCAGTACATGTACTTTCAGGATGAAGACATCAGTGAAGAAGCGACAACCGCTCGACACAATCGTAGTGAAGAGTTGGAACGTAAAAAATTCCTTCAATACCTCCACATGCATGTAACGTCTAGGTCTTCCCGCTCGCGACGAACAGACTCCTCAGGAACCAACACACCCGGTAAGGATCTTGTTTATTGTTTCCAGCCACATGTTTATAATGTGTAATACAGGTATATAAAGTAATACTTAAACTTAAATATTACTTTATATTATGCAATTAAATTATATTATATAATAAACTATTATTACTATTATTAAATTATAATAAATTACTGTATATATATTTTACATTGTTACTTAAAATATTAAATTAAAGGGCTTAACAGGGAAAACCCATTTCTCAAGAATTAGGTACTGTACTGATAATTTTCTCATCTATAATAAAAAAATATTTTAACAATATCAGTATATCAAAGTTTCTACAAATTAATATTCCTTTTGTCAAGTTATTATACTACTAAGGTGTACATGACATTTATGGAATTTGAAAAAAACATTTGATAAAGTTGATAGAGAATGACTTGGCAGAGTGATGATGATCACCGAGTTCTGTTGAATGCTGTGAAAAAAAATTATAGGTAGGAAGTAGTATACAGTATGTATAAGAGTTAATGGTGTAATGAGAGACTGTTTTGATATTAATGAAGATGTATACTAGGGTTCTGTGAGGTTTTATTGGTTATTCAATATTTAAGTGAAATGAGGAAGGTCAATATAAATATGTGAGTGGGTTGTAAAGCAAGTGTGCTGGCCTAATGTGAGTAATTAGTTTGAGATTGACCTACCTTACCTTGAGGTTACCTTGAGGTGCTTCCGGGGCTTAGTGTCCCCGCGGCCCGGTCGTCGACCAGGCCTCCTGGGTGCTGGACTGATCAGCCAGGCTGTTAGACGCGGCTGCTCGCAGCCTGACGTATGAGTCACAGCCTGGTTGATCAGGTATCCTTTGGAGGTGCTTATCCAGTTCTCTCTTGAACACTGTGAGGGGTTATGCCCCTCAGTAGTTATGCCCCTTATGTGTAGTGGAAGCGTATTGAACAGTCTCGGGCCTCTGATGTTGATAGAGTTCTCTCTCAGAGTACCTGTTCCACCTCTGCTTTTCATGTGCAAATGATAGTTCTTTAGCAGTGTACTCACCTAATTGTGCTTGCAGGGGTTGAGCTTTGGCGCTTTGGTCCAGGGTCTTGGTCTTCCAGTGTGTGGAAGTGTATATGTATATTGACTAGTTAATGATTGTACTGATGTGTGTGATAGAACATTGTTAAAAGTAGAATTATGGTTGGGGAGGGATAAGGAAATTCTGCGTGCAAATAAATGTGAATGGTGCAGTGCTGGAAGGGGTCGGTAAGTTAAATACTCAGCCTGTGATTGCTAAAAAGAGGAATTTATATAATCCAAGTTGAGAATAGGACAAAGCTAGGGTAGGGAAAGTGGCTGGTACAATGAAGGCCTTACTGAAAAAAAAGATGAGAGTAGATGCAACCAGAAGTCTATATGTAGTAAGTGATGATGTCAACTCTGATGAATAGGTTTGAGATGATGGTGTGGTGTGAATGAAAAATTAAGGTTTAGAGCAGTAGAAATGAGTAATTTGATTGAGGAGAGTGTAATGAGATGCATTGGATGTACTGAACAAAGTGAATTTGAGAGGAGGAAGCTGGAAAGGTTTGGAGGACATGGTGTTTGTGTTAGGAAGTGGAGAGTTAGTAACACATGGGATATGGTAATTGAGAAGACCAGTGAATATATCTGTATGTAACTTTATAACTTCACAATGAGAATTGTGTATGTTGTCTTCTGAAACATTGGGTGCAGCTCTGGAGTGTGGTACTTTTATGTCTGTGATATTGTATGTGTAAATGTAAAATGAATGTCTATTTCTGTATTACCCAGTTTCCATAACCTCATTTTGATATACACTATTTATTCACCATTTTCATTGGGTTGTGTTGCCTCCCCACCCGATGAAAAAGGAAAACAGGGTAGTAATTATGTATGTATGCAGTGTGCCTCTACTTTTTACGTGGATTGTTAATGCTGAATTATTGCTCATCCCAGTGCTAGCCTTAGAGCCTAAATTCCAACATGATGATAAATGGAGTGTTTCCTTTCTTTAGGAAAATAATAAAACTTTCATACCCAGTATGAAAGTTAAACTGTTTTGTTGTCAGAGTATGTGTATTATTACCAGTTGATTAAAATGTCTTTACATCTGAGTATATAATGATTGGATTTAATTTTCTTTTGGGATATCTTTCAGATCATCCATTGTCACCAAGACCTCCTGATCCAACGTGTGACACAATCTCACCTTTGGCCACACCCCCGGCCACACCTCTAGCTCCCTCAGAGGACTCCAATCAGTCATCATCTCTCCCAAACATTTCTAGTATATCTAATTCTTCCAATTATCCTGTTTCAAACATACCTAGTTCAAGCTTTACTTCTATAACACAGTCTGGGTTGGTTAATAGTTCATCTCAACTATCTCTCTTTCCAACCACTTCTCAGACGTTGTCAACTCAGCTCTTTATCCATAACCCTCAACTTGGAAGTTCTGTGTACAACCAAATATCAACTTCAGCCACTTTATCCACTACTTCCTTATCTACATCTTCTGCCTCAACACTATCGTCACTTCTTCCTGGGAGCCGACGTAACCGCACCCTCAGCAATAGCAGTAGCAACAACAACATTATTACTAACAACAATACCAATAACAATACAAATAACAATACCAACAACAACAACATCAGCAGCAACAGAGCCCGTGGTTTCCTCACCACAGAAGAAATCTTATCAGAAAGGTTGGAGGTAAGTTGACTATGTGCTTGCAAAATTTTAAGCATGTTATTTGTGGATTTTTTTCCCGACTACATTCCTTTTGAATGAACATTTTTTCATGTAAACATAGCCCCTGATTAGGTATTCCCAGTAAGGATACCTTACAGTTTTTACATAATATTTTTTCTTGTGGTTTGTGTGTTTGATATTTGGAGAGTGCTTTTATGTATCGGCTTGGTAGTTCATTGATGGCTTCACAGTACAGTATAAGGAAAGCTTGTTTTATTTTTGAGCCATATATTCCCTTTGTGGCACATTTTGAAACCATTTGTTACAAGATGTGCTGTTTATCACTTTCAGGGTGTGGTGCCGTATGAGCAACGTGTCTTCCCATTAAACGATACAGAATTTATGATGATGACGAAGGAGACGGATGACTGTGATATTGGCCCCTCAAGCCCACCCTTAGATTCCTCCACCCATGAACCCAACAGTGTTGAAGAGGTAAATATAAATCTTGTATACTCTGTAGCCTCGAGGTACTGTCTTTTATTATTTGTCATCTTTAAAACCTACGGGAGATTGACTGGGAACCTTGCATTGACTAGGTGTCGCCTAGAGATGTCTCTCTCTTCCAGGTAACCATTGAAGGATTGACAGAAAAGAATTTCCATGCAAGGTGTTCAATATAGGTCTCCTTCATCCAGGGGCTAGATTCACGAAGCAGTTACGCATGTACTTAGGAACCTGTACTTCTTTTCTCAATCTTTGGCAGCTTTGTTTACATTTATTAAACAGTTAATGAGCTCCAAAGCTCCAGGAGGCTATTTATAACAATGACAACAGTTGATTGGGAAGTTTTCATGCTTGTAATTTTTTTTTTTTTTTTTTTTTTTTTTTTTTTTGAGATATATACAAGAGTTGTTACATTCTTGTACAGCCACTAGTACGCGTAGCGTTTCGGGCAAGTCCTTAATCCTATGGTCCCTGGAATACGATCCCCTGCCGCGAAGAATCGTTTTTTCATCCAAGTACACATTTTACTGTTGCGTTAAACAGAGGCTACAGTTAAGGAATTGCGTCCAGTAAATCCTCCCCGGCCAGGATACGAACCCATGACATAGCGCTCGCGGAACGCCAGGCGAGTGTCTTACCACTACACCACGGAGACTGCTGAATAGCAGTCTGCTGAACTATTAAATAAATGTAACCAAAGCCGTCAAAGATTGAGGAAAGATGTACACATTTGTAAGTACTTGCGTAACTGCTTCTGAATCTGGCCTCGGGTCCATAAACTGTTGATTTCATTAATAAGAGTTTTCATTGTTGAGGGATGTAGGAGTAGGCAGAACCATCCTTGATGTAGAAATTCTTTATATTGTTTACTGATCATATCCTGGCTTTTTAACTGTCACGAGCTTCCGTGCGGCATTCTAGAGCATTATTTAAGAGTATCCACAGTTTCTAACATATATATATATAAGTATATATATTTTTTTACCTGCCTGGTGCTTTAGTTATATTTCTTTTTGCATTAATATTTTTTTTTAAGCCGATTCTTTACTTGAAAACCTTTTCTCTGTCCAGGACATAGGTTTTCAAAATATACAACAGTTCTAACTACAGAATCTTGTAGAATCTCAGAAATATTTATTGAATGGAAAATGTGGACACAGTAAACATTTTGAAATGAATTTACAGATGGCCAGGTGCTTTCTGAACATCAAATACTGTATTTGGCTATTTCTTTTTGCATTAATTTTTTTTTTAAGCCAATTCTTTACTTGAAAACCTTTTCTCTGTCCAGGACATTGCTCCCCTTGCCTCTCTGCCAGTGTCAAATACTGTATTTGGCTATGCCAGTGTCTTGTTTGGGATTGTATGAAAAAAAATTAATACTAAAGTGGTGAGAATGAGTGACAGGAGCGATGTATCACAGCATTTGTTTTAGTTTGTGGTGTTACACAGGAGTGTAAATCCCCATAAATTTCTTGGATAAATGGATATACCGGCGTATTTCTCATCTGGTCCCAATCCTTAGACGTCTGGAAAGCACATGGTCATCTTCAATATTACATATCAAAAAGCCCTAAAAAAGGTGCATTCCCAGAGCTACAATAGAGAGGGGGGGGGCAGGTGATGCACTAAAAAGACATTTGAAAAGACATCTGGCACAGTTGGGGCAACTCTTGCAAGGACATACCTATACACCATTCACTGTAGGGGGTAAAAATTTACTGTTTTTGCTCTTTATTGTGTATCTGGTAGAGGTATAAATAATTTTGTCTGTGGTTTGTTACTAGGAGATACCATTGACATCTAGCAGAATATTCAGGCTTCAAGAGAAATAATGTGATGCATTGCAATCTCAGATAACACATACTCGGATCACATACTCATTGAAGTGTAACCTAACATCAATACCTGTAATAAAAAAATATAAAGTGAGAGGGGTTATTCATTAAATTAAATTTTAATAATAAATTGATAGACTGGGAAAAATAAATGTGGAACTTACAAATATTCAATGGGGAACTGTTCCAAGTAATAAATATCCCACACAAGGAATAGAACAACTGACTGCCGAGGCATATAAGTTCTGTCCGAAACATGTCCCTTTGCGGAAAGGCAGAAAGGGGATGAGCTTAGAGAATGCAGATGGCACTACAGAAGACTGGGGAAAAGAAAATGGAAATGTTGAAACACACACGACTATCCCTACAAAGAAAGAATAATTTAAATAGGGAGATAGAAGAAATAGAACAGTGACTGAAGCAGTCATATCAGGTTGAAGAAATGAAATTAGAACAGGAAGCTGTTCAAAGATAAAGAAAAGTCTAGTCTGTTGGACCAAGACACAAATCAAGCCTGGTCCCAGGCCAGGCTTGAGGAGTAGAAAAACTCCCGGAACCATCTCCAGGCAAACTCCCAGAACTTACTCCAGGTATGATCCAGGTATAAACCAGGTTCAATTACAGCTCTTAAGAACAGGAACTATAGGTCAAGATGGATATGCCAGGTTCACATCAATGGTAATTATGAAGTGAGGGTCCAAGAATTTGATAACCCCTCCCCCCCCCTATAGGCACTTGAATATGCACACATGCAATCATTACCACATGGAAACATATACTGTCTCTCATTTCTTGGTTTGTGAGTGCTGTTATTTTTTGTTAGTGTGTTCATGTAATAATGATATTTTACTGTTGCAGAGTGGTCGGAGTTCCCCTATGAGTGAAGTAACTGATTCAGCACCAGAGGATGATGGAAGATATGATGATATGGCTGCACCTAAGTGGACCATCTCCGGGCTTAAGGATGCTACTGGCCAGTGTGTGTTACAAATACACCGCAACTGACGGTGGCAAACCTCGGATAAATCAGACTCGAGAAATTAAGTTTTAAAGATGTACAAAATTTAATATTTGGCTAAATTTGGTTGAAAAGCCTGTAACCAAAGATTTGGGAGCGGCTTTACAGATGTTATATTGGATATTGATTAAACCAGATGATGAATAATTCAAGAAGTGTTTTAGCTTCAGGCCCCAACCAAAAAATCTACATAATTACTGGGCTCTAATATTCGATATGGCAATAGAGATAATTTGGTAAGCTTGTAACAGCTTTCATATATGTATAGTTTTAATAAATTATACTGGTTTAATTCTGGCCTTTATTAGGCTAAATAAAATCTAGTGCGGCAATTTAATTGAAACAAAATTATCATTAGGTTGATTAATCATGTAACGGGTGTCAAGGGCTTCTCAAGGAGCCGAGAAGACAAATTCCTCTCATTATTGAGGGGCAGTTATCATTCTGTTTTCAATGAAAGCTTTGTTATTTAGTTTCTTAGTAACAAGGATTTATACCAAAAAAACTTGGTAACAATGACTAAGTCATGTTTATAATGCATATGTGGTACAGATTTCTTGAATTTATTTAATTACTGTATAATAGCATATCAGTGCTCTTGTGTGACTGAGGGCAAAGAGATTGATGAGCAACAAGTAAGAGTCGAGTCTTGCTCAGACAAGGAGGACGATATTTTAGATACCATGGATTGCAGAACTGGAAACCACAGCTTGTACAAGTAGGTGACCATTTTATCAAGTGTTATACAGTAGCAGTAGCATGTAGTAGAAGAGAGTAGCATATTATGTTTATACTGATAGGAGTAAGTTAGCTAGTGTAGGTTATCGGGGTGTAACTGATGTGAATGGTAGAGAAGCTTGACAATGAATGTAGTGTAGAGATGGCAGATAGGAATGGTAGCTTTTAAGACTACACTTTGACACAAATATTTTATAATTGGAACTGCTGATAACTGTAAGAAATTTGTAGACAACAGCAAAAACGTCATAATGTTGCAGAATGCATGTATAGAGTACATCCTCTCTGTTGATGAACTTGAGTTATGGACATATTGGTCTTACAGAGGTTTAGTGTACATGTGACGAAGAGAATGACAAACGTGAGAGCGAAGAGTGCCGTAGGGATTGTTAAGTACTGTACATGTGAGATACTATTTAGACACTATATTTGTTAATGATGCCAAAGTGTTCATAATGTTTAAACAAATCTTTTGTTTACTAGTTAATTTCTTGTACAGCCTACAACCACATATTCAAATCATTTAGTTATATTAAATTATATGTATAAATTTAATCATAAAGGAGGACCCATATTATGTCATAAGACTACCTAGCTGGGGTTTGTGGAAACTGCAAGAACTTGATGGGGATGGTATTTGCAGGATAGTAGCAGCAGTCGGTGCCAGTTGCTTGTAATTGTGTGGGTTGGCTTGAATTTAATTGATAGCTGCCAGTGTTAGCAGTATGTTCTAGTATTGTGTACACCAAAAAAAAATTTAATCAATGCACTATGGGTCATTTCTAAAGATAGGCCACGGTTATCATGGACCCAATGCTTAATTCATTGCTAGAATTGGGATATAAGAAACTGGACGTCTAAGCAAATTATTTGCTTAATTGCCCATTCTTACATATATCTTGATATTTAGAATTTTATGGAAAAGGAATGATTGTGTATCCTTGATCTGTATCCATTGCTCATTAGGTATTGCAGCAGTTAATAGAGCTCCAGAAAGACAGAGGACCACCTGTTTGTAGAAGAATATGGCCTGGAGTAAAACTCCTCAGGTCCTCTTTCTAATGTGCTGTGCTTCACACCTATGATGGTTACACAGCTAAATATACGCTTACGTAATTGTGTCATGGACTCTCCTAATTGACCATTGTACTTCTTTTCACTTTTTCACAAAGAAAGTGACAAGTGTTCAACTTTCATCAATGTTTCTCTTATCTTGCTTTCCTTGATGTATATCATCTCTGTACCAATTTTTGTTTTAGTCTAGAGGACTAATAAGATTTCTTATTGTTTGCTCTGTTAAAAAAAAAAAATGTTGCTCCTTTGGAGCCTTGTAATAAAGTATTTGTAAAATATCAATAGTGATTGACATATTTGTACCTTGTCACCATTGCCCATCTGAGTTGGACTCAACATTTATTTGGTTTTATAAATTAAAGACTCCTCTCTCTCATTATGAAGACAAATATTACTTTTATTTGTTCATAATTGCAGTCCTTAAGATAAGATGGGTACAATGGCATTTTTGTAAATAGTGTATAGAATCCAATTTGAATGCAAGTATTTATATCATTCAATGTTTCATTGAATTTAATACTTGTTGCCTGATTGAAAAGCACTGTCCTAAGTCATTCTAAAGAAAAGAAAAAATACAAACTGACCATTGCGAGTTTCTTTTTCCAAACTTTGAAGGGTTTTGGCATTTTATAAAACTATATACAGTACAGTACTGTACATTCGGCCACATATTTTACAAACACGTCTTTCTGAAAATGTCTTATTCGATTTGGGTTTGTTTAGATAAAAAAAAAATTTTGATAACTGGTAGGGCAGGCAGTCTAACTAAAAATGTGCAATAAAGATGGCGCTAGTTTGCCCAATGACTGCACACAGTGCCACTTGAGCATTGTTCATATACTAATGGATGGCTCAGAAGCTTTAAACTGCCATGGCATTAGGTACATTAGAGTTCATGGTGAAAAGAAGTCTGCTGAGGTTACCTGATCACCATTAATCTCAACTTCAGTCAACCCAACACTATCATCATCATCATCCACCACCTTTTCTATCTAAATAACAATGTTCCATTAACTACAATTTTCAAGTTAACAAGCGGATCAGAACTTCCCATACTGGTGAGTACAAGCAAAACACTAAAATTTCTGCAACAAAATTGTCCATTTTTTTCCCCCCTTTAGCTTTTCAGGATGATGAACCACTTACCTGAACTCAACAGGTTATCCATTTACTCGGAGCCCCGAGGGGTTCAGAAAGCACGTAGCTGACTGTACTGTATTCTGTATGTTATCAATGGTGATTTATTGAAATATTTTTTTTTTAATTTGCATGAGAATATTTAGTAATGCATTATTCTGTATATTAAGGGTAATTAAAAAAATCTGTGGTTCATGTAGATTTCCTAGTACTGTACCAATTAAATATTCTAGAAAGTGGGATATTATTGAGCATTTTAATGAATTTATAGAAAAGGCCTGGATCTGATTTACATTTGTCTGCTAACCATTCTCAAAGTTCCTCTCTGGCTCTCTCCTTACTGACATGTAGTTGTTAATTGAATCTTTTTATTGCTGGTATGTTTGGGGGTTTGGTCTCTTTCTATAATGATTCCATGCTCGTGTGTTTTGATCTCTGGCCCCCTCGCAATTTCTGTTGAACCAACCCCGTTTCCTAGGTCCGCATGTCTGTTTTGGTATGAATGGTTGTGTGCCTTCATCGTATATTTTGCAAAATTTGGCATACATCTCATTTACTTCCTTGCCTAGCTCCAGGAGCCTAGCAACAAGTCTGTCCAATTATACCCCATGAAAAAATTTCCAAGTTCCCCATAGCGTCCTCTCTTTAAATCGAGTTCAATAACTGCTTCACTGTCCCCATTGTCTACTAGATTATATCGCATAGCGTATTTAATGTCCAAGAGGACGTGATCACTCTTTCCCAAGGAAGGAATGTACTGGATGTCAAATACCTCTTCTTTCCTGGTGAATACTAGAAACAGTACTGACAGAACATCCCCTTCCCTCATTCTTGTAATTACCTAAGTGTAATTACCTAAGTGTAGTTACAGGATGAGAGCTACGCTCGTGGTGTCCCGTCTTCCCAGCACTCTTTGTCATATAACGCTTTGAAACTACTGACGGTCTTGGCCTCCACCACCTTCTCACTTAACTTGTTCCAACCGTCTACCACTCTATTTGCGAAGGTGAATTTTCTTATATTTCTTCGGCATCTGTGTTTAGCTAGTTTAAATCTATGACCTCTTGTTCTTGAAATTCCAGGTCTCAGGAAGTCTTCCCTGTCGATTTTATCAATTCCTGTTACTATTTTGTATGTAGTGATCATATCACCTCTTTTTCTTCTGTCTTCTAGTTTTGGCATATTTAATGCTTCTAACCTCTCCTCGTAGCTCTTGCCCTTCAGTTCTGGGAGCCACTTAGTAGCATGTCTTTGCACCTTTTCCAGTTTGTTGATGTGCTTCTTAAGATATGGGCACCACACAACAGCTGCATATTCTAGCTTTGGCCTAACAAAAGTCATGAACAATTTCTTTAGTATATCGCCATCCATGTATTTAAATGCAATTCTGAAGTTAGAAAGCATAGCATAGGTTCCTTGCACAATATTCTTTATGTGGTCCTCAGGTGATAGTTTTCTATCTAGAACCACTCCTAGATCTCTTTCTTTATCAGAATTCTTTAAAGATTTCTCACATAATATATAGGTTGTCTGGGGTCTATGTTCTCCTATTCCACATTCCATAACATGACATTTATTAACATTAAATTCCATTTGCCAAGTGGTGCTCCATATACTTATTTTGTCCAGGTCTTCTTGAAGGGCATGACAGTCATCTAAATTTCTTATCCTTCCTATTATCTTAGCATCATCAGCAAACATGTTCATATAATTCTGTATACCAACTGGTAGATCATTTATGTACACAATAAACATCACTGGTGCAAGAACTGAACCCTGTGGTACTCCACTTGTGACATTTCTCCATTCCGATACATTGCCTCTGATTACTGCCCTCATTTTTCTATCAGTCAGAAAATTTTTCATCCATGATAGAAGCTTACCTGTCACCCCTCCAATATTTTCCAGTTTCCAGAACAACCTCTTATGTGGAACTCTGTCGAAAGCCTTTTTTAGGTCCAGATAGATGCAGTCAACCCAACCATCTCTTTCCTGTAATATCTCTGTGGCTCGATCATAGAAACTGAGTAAATTCGATACACAGGATCTTCCAGATCGAAAACCATACTGTCTGTCTGATATTATATCATTTCTCTCTAGGTGTTCTACCCATTTAGTTTTGATTAGTTTTTCCAATACTTTCACTATTACACTTGTCAATGATACAGGTCTATAATTGAGGGGGTCTTCCCTGCTGCCACTTTTGTAGATTGGAACTATGTTAGCCTGTTTCCACCCGTCTGCTACGATTCCTGTACACAGGGATGCCTGAAAGATCAGGTGAAGTGGAATGCTGAGCTCAGATGCACATTCTCTCAGAACCCATGGTGAAACGCCATCTGGGCCAGCTGCTTTGTTCTTACCGAGCTCCTTGAGCATTTTTTCCACTTCGTCTCTAGACACCTCTATGTGTTCTATGTTGTTCTCTGGAATTCTTATTGTATCTGGTTCCCTAAAGATTTCATTTTGTACAAACACACTTTGGAACTTTTCGTTTAGTGTTTCACACATTTCCTTTTCATCTTCCGTGAATCTATTTCCCATTTTCAACCTCTGAATATTATCCTTTACCTGCAATTTGTTGTTTATGAATTTATAGAATAGACCTGGTTCTGTTTTACATTTGTTCGCAATCCCTTTTTCAAAATTTCTTTCTGCCTCTCTCCTCACTGCCGTGTAGTTGTTTCTCGCATCTTTGTATCGCTGGTATGTTTGGGGGTTCGGCCTCTTCCTGTATTGATTCCATTTTTGTCTTTCGGTCTCTAGCCCTCTCGCAATTTCTATTGAACCAATCCTGTTTCCTAGTTCTGCATCTCTGTTTTGGTATAAATTTTTTTGTGCCTTTATCATATATTTCACAAAACTTGCCATACATCTCATTCACTTCCTTGCCTAGCATCAAGTCTGTCCAATTATACTCACTAAAAAAATTTCAAAGGTCACCATAATGTCCTCTCCTGAAGTCTGGTTTTTCAACTGCTTCAACCTCCTTATTTTCTTCCAGCTTATAACGCATTGCATACTTTATTCCCAAAAAGACATGGTCACTTTTACCCAAGGGAGGAAGGTACTGAATGTCAAATATCTCTTCCTCCTTCCTGGTAAATATCAAATCTAGCATGGAGGGAACGTCCCCTTCCCTCATCCTCGTAGCTTGTTTAACATGTTGATACAAGAATGTTTCCAGGATGAGGTCTACAAATTTACAGGTCCAAAAATCTTCTGTTTTAGCTTCATATGCTTCCCAGTCTATGGATTTCAAATTGAAGTCACCGACTATCAACAGTCGTGATCTATCGTTATCCGCTCTCGCTATAATCTCTCTCATTATTGTTATAAGACCTTCACGTTTACTATCTAGCTCCTCCTTTGACCATGTGCTGCTTGGCGGTGGACTATATGCATTTATCATCATTAGTTTATCATCCTCATAGCAGATCTCTAGTGCTATTATGTCAACTTCTTGTGGATTGGCAGTCATTATTTCCTTCACCTTTAGGTGTTCTTTTACCAGCACAGCAACGCCACCGCCTTTCCTAATTTTTCTGTCCCGTCTCCAAATTGAGTAGCCCCTTGGGAATATGACCTCATTTAAAATTACATCTTCAAGTTTTGTCTCCGTGAGTGCAACAATGTCTGGTGTCTGCAGCTGTATTATATCACTTAACTCCAGTATCTTCGATCTCACTCCATCTATGTTGGTGTATGCAATCTTCAGGAACTTGTTCCCCCTCTCCTTATTCTTCACTCCCCCTCTCTCTATTGATTTTGTTGGTTTGCCTTTATGTACCACTTTACTGGTTTGCCTACCCCTATCACTTTGTAGAAAAAAGAATTTATTTCTTCTTCATTCCTGCTCTCATTTAAATGTTTTGCCTCGGCGAGGTTCAGTTTCAGCTTCTCTCTATCTTCTTTTGAAAGATCTCGTCTTAACGACCACCCTTTCCCATCCTCATCACTTTGCAATTTTCTAGCATTCCTTAGTACTTCTTCCATCTGTTTGGCACCGTTTAGGGTGATCCTCAAAGGTCGATCTTTCCCTTTTACGTACCTGCCTATTCTCCTGTAGTCACACACATTCTCTATGGTTGTAAGACCTTCCACGAGGCCAACAATTTTATCTACTACTTTAGCTTCTTCTACAGCTCTTTCTGACCTAGATGTTATCGCCTTTTCTTTGCAGCCAAAAATGATCAGGGACTTACTCCGATCAACTGTGTTTTGCACCAACTTCGGGTTAGATGCCAATTCTTTCCTCACTTCTAGCCTAATGTTTGTTTTATCTTGGTTGCTGCAGTGTTTGACTTCCTTTACTGCTTCTTCTATTTTTTCCTTCTCCTTGGCCACTTGTGCATAAGTGAGTTGCATATCTTTCTTGCACTGTTCTATTCCCTGTGTAGCTTCCTCTATCTGTGCTGACAAAAGCTGTTTCTCCTGTTGAATTTCCTT